CATGCGTATATACTGATCCAAATTTAAAATTTTGGTGCTCACTGAACGCGCAAAATATGATGCTTTACAACTTTTGTTCTACGAGTTTTTCACGTATAGTGGCTGTTTTCACATCACAGATCTCTAAAAGTGAGTTTCTTGCAGTTTTCACAAAAGTTGCTAAAAATTGGCTTTTTTCGACTGACGATAACAACCTTATAAATCGATCCAATTTGAAAGTTAGGGAGGTTTTCGACGCAAAATTTTATGCTCTTTAACTTAGAATAGAGCGACATATTTCGTACGATGCATCGTTTCCATGATATGAGCGAGAAACCAGAAAAACTCCGAAAATTTCCTGAAGTGGCAATGCCAAGAGACAGCAAACTTTAGACTCGTGTTCAGCACCCCAACAATTATATAATTGTTGATCGGACTATGTCCATAAATCCATGAAAATGTAAGGTTTTATGAATTAACTGATTCTTTATCGTTCGCTAAACCCTACAAAAACAACACTAGTAGCCTTTTCAAGGAAAAGAAAACTTAATCTCAAAACCGTTAAATTAGACGGGATAGATATAGAATGGAAAAATGAAGTCAAATATTTAGGCCTAACCCTGGACAACAAACTTCTCTGGAACACACATGAGAAAGAAGTAGTAAATAAGGCCACAAAAGCCCTAATGGTATGCAGAAACATTGCAGGTAAATGATGGGGATGTAACCCAAACATACTGCGATGGATGTATACTGCAATAGTGAGACCAATCATCACTTACGGGGCTATAGTCTGGAGTAACAGAAGTTTAGTTACTACGAGAGCTAATATCTCAACAGTACAAAGACTAGCCTGTGTTTGCATTACTGGTACAATAAGAACCTGTCCTACGGCCGCAATGGAGGTGATCTTAAACCTTACCCCTCTACATTTGATGATAGAGAATGTGGCAAAAAGGACACAATATAGAATGATCAGGAACGGAGTAATCAGACGAAAGTCTACTTACTTCCGGACTAAAGATACCTAGGACATGCCCCAGGATGAAATGCAAAAGAAGTACAGTTTTGTGAAAAACTTCAAAACCACAGAGCTGGGCTGCAAGAAAGAATGGAGCCAAGAATCCATCGCGCTTGCAACCGAAAGACGTGCTATTCAGTGGTATAAGGACGGTTCCAAAACCATAGAAGGAACTGGAATAGGAGTGTATGGGCCGAGAACCAAGCATTCCGAAAGCTTGGGAAAATACCCAAGCATCTTCCAAGCGGAAATTTACGCCATCGAGAAGTGCATCATGTCCGATAGTCAAGCAGCCATCAAAGCGCTGAGTTCTTACGTAATCAGCTCAAAAATGGTCTGGAGATGCCTAGAACAATTGAATGAGCTAGGCGAGAAAAATAGAGTTACTCTCACTTGGGTCCCGGGACATAACGGGGTACAGGGTAACGAGATTGCAAATAGTCTTGCAAGGAAAGGGGTTCAAACACCCTTTGTAGGACCTGAGCCGTTCTGCGGTATCAGCAGTAATATAATATTAGGAGAGATTAAAAAAGAATTGGGTAGTAGAAGAACCGATAATTGGAACAATCTCTTGGGGCTGAGACAGGCCAAGATACTTCTGGGTGAATATAAACAGAAAAGATCGGAAGCTTGCATCTGCCTAAGCAAGAACAGGCTACGTATTGTAACAGGGATCCTTACCGGGCATTGCCGACTAAAAGGACACCTAAGTAAACTGAGAGTAGTAGAGGATAGTGAGTGCAGATTCTGTGAGGAGGATGACGAAACCTCCATTCACATCCTAACTGAATGTGTAGCACTCCAGAATTCAAGGGCACTATATCTAGGAGGATATCAAATAGAAGAGGGAGATTTACCTAACTTGAAGCCACTTCAAATCCTACACTTCCTTGAGAAAATAGGATTGGAAGGGTCGCTATAGGCATTGAGACATTTCCTTAGTGCAGTGGCGACAGAAGGGGGCACAATAGATCTTTTAGGTCGCAGTGTATTAACACCCCATTCTCAACATAACATAACATAACTAACATAACATCGTTCGCTAGTCATGTCCTACATTGACTATTGTGCTCTTCCGTTTGGTTTCCACATTATACGAGTATAACATGTAGTAGGAAAATAAGACTGTTCAGCACAATTTTCCCAGTTACATATTCTTTTAATTGGGTTTCTATTGTGAATATGACTTGTTGGTACGATTTCTGAACATCCACTCCTAGAAACTAGTTGAAAACTTTGCTATTTAATAATATTATCAATGGTAGATGCAATTGTCCTGAACTTCTTTTCATACAAACTCGTTCAACTGGGCAACTTCAAACATGGTGTGTACCTTTTTATAAATTAAAACCAAACTTTTAACAGCTGACTATGCTTAAATTAGCCAACTTACACAGTGTCTTAGGGTATTTAACATAGCCTTATCATCATTCAATAATCAATAGAAAATAAATTATGAAAGTGTGTTAGTATTAAAAGTTTGCATGGGTGTTTACCTTATTATAGTCTATTTTTATGTATGAGAGAGTAATAAAACAGCATTTTTAATGCAAAACTTAGTACGGTCATTTTAAATATTTTTACAGAATAATCTAAATATTTCCTAAAATTGTAATAAATGTACCTGAGCTATTACAAGTTTTGGGTCTTTTATTGGTCCTTTATAAACATAAGCTGTACAGAACAATAGAAAAAGGTTTGGACAGGCTGAAAGCCCTGTGTATTAAAGATTACATAGCCGTATCTTAAGATTATTTTCAATAAGTACCTATTTGCCAATTTTGTTTTATTTTAATTCCAAGAATTTCTTACAGTAATCGAATTATAAGTAGATAAATACCTTCCCAACAAATTTCACCGAAAATGCGATTATAGGTTTTCCATTTAGTAAGGAGGTCCATTGTGTATTCTTGACAGTTTACTAAATGTCGTTTAGTTGCAACTTGCAAGGTGCAGTGTGAATTCTAGTGTGATCATGGAAAATTTGGAAGGGCTGCGTAAACGACAAAAAATCGGTCCTTTAACAGTTAATGAAAAAACATTAATATTTAATTGTTTTAAATCATTTACAGACAAACATTTATGTAAAAGTGTTGATGACACAGTGGAATTAGTTAGTAGTACGCTTGGTGTTGGGAAATCTACGATTTACAGAGTTGTTAAAGAAGAGAAATGTGGCGAGTTTCAAACAGCACGTAAAGCTCCAGGAAAACCAAAATTTCAATTAGAAAATCTTTTGAAAAAAAGACTTCGAAGGAAAGTGCATGCGTTCTTCTTTAAAAAAGAATTTCCGACCGTAGACAAAGTTCTTGCCACGGTTCGAGATGATAAGGATTACCCTGAAATGAGTCGAAGCACACTATGGAAACTTTTGAAAGAAATAGGTTTTCTATGGAAAAAGCATTCTAGAAAGTCTATTTTAATAGAAAGAAGCGATATTGTAGTATGGAGAAGAAATTACCTAAGAACTATAAAAGAAATGAGAAACCAAAGAAGAAATATATTTTATTTAGATGAAACATGGATCAACGAGGGACATAAACCAAATAAATTTTGGCAAGATGAAACTGTTACAAGTCGAAGACAGGCTTTTTTAAATAATTTATCTACTGGTTTAAATCCACCATCAGGAAAGGGGCGCAGACTAATTATAGTACACATCGGTAGTTCAAACGGTTTTGTTAAAGGTGGTTTATTGACTTTTGAATCTACTCGTACCGGTGACTAACATGAGGACATGAATGCTGATGTCTTTAAAGAGTGGTTCGAATAAATTATAGATCTTCTTCAGAACTGAATAATAGTAATGGATAATGCAAGTTATCACTCGAGACCTATAGAAAAAATGCCCACAACCAAGTGGTTAAAAAAAGATTTACAGAATTGGCTAAATTCAAAGAATATTAAGTTCCATCCCGGTTCTGTGAGAAAAGAACTGTATCATTTGTGTTCCCTTCATAAAGAGAAATTCAAAAAATATGAAATTGATGAAATTGCAAAAAATCGTGGGATGACGGTGGTTAGATCACCACCACATCATTGCGAAGTAAACCCGATTGAACTGATATGGGCACAGATAAAGGGAGAAGTTTCAAGAAAAAATAATTCTTTTAAAATGAGTGATGTTAAACAGTTGTTTTTGGAGGCTGTAAATAATGTGAAGCCTGAAAACTGGGAAAAGGCGGTAAATCATAAGATTAAAGAAGAAGAGAAAATGTGGAAGTTGGACAATATTACTGATGAAATGATCGAGCCACTCATTGTAAATATTGGTTGCGACAGTTCATCTTCTGATTTCGATTCTGATTTGGATTTGTAGGTAAGAAGTAGTTTTTATATTAAAATTATTATTTATAAACGTAACGTTGTTTAAAAGTCAAAGTTTAAACCCTTATACCTACATAACCCGTTTGACACAATGTTCTTAACATACCTTGTGGAAAAATAAAACATTTTAGAAAAAATTGCACTTTTTTACCTTCAGCTGTTTAGAAGTTATAAGCAGGTTAATTTGGTAAAAATATATGTGTATACTCGAGGAATAACTTCAAACAATATTTTAACTGTCTACTAGAAGAAGTGGTACGCCTATGGATTACGAACGCTTTATTATTTTAATACTCTCTCATACATAAAAATAGACTATAGTAGAAAAATGTAATTGCCACTGTACTTAAAAAATATTCTCACTGTTTTAAAAAAATTTTCAATTTTTAGTCTACCAGCATAAAAAAAATTCCTCGAATTTGCTCATTTTTGAATTTCTCAATTTTTGATCTAATTTCAAATTTCAAACAATTTTTTCGTAAGTAACATTTTCACTTACTGGCTATTCGGGTCACACAACTAGAGTACAAAATCTTACTTGCACAAAAGCATGCATTTACTTATTTACACTATTCAACCTACTTAAGACACTGAATCAATAATTTCCAAATTATAAAAATAATTAACCGATCGAGCGGGACAAAATTCAATAAATAAAAATAAAAGTTCTTACCTTTTGTTTCGACACTCAAATTTTGTTAAGTAAAATAATTCTCTGACCGAGAATTACGAAAATGAAAACACTGGTCACTGTCGATGAAGCAGAGTAGGTGAAGAATGTGAATAAATTATAACTGCACTGTATTGCCTGAGACTTTCGTTACCCGCAGTTAATGTAGTACTGCCATCAGATGGTACTAGCTCGCTCGTCTTGTATATATCGGTACTTGGTGCCTAGTAGATACAAGCTTGGAGGTTTGGGTGCTATTTTTAGCCAGAAGTCGATGCGCCCGTGTAGATACCTGTAAGGTGGCTTCTGCATTTCTTCATTTTTTTTTAACGGAAGAAATATTTAATTGCTCACGATGTGTGAGCAATGTAATATTCTAGGCAACTAGCTAGATATATTTAATTGTTGTATTCCAAATTTTAGAATATTGTGTTTCATATTATTAGTTCGTTTTTTTATTGTTTAGTTATTAGGATTTAAACTGTTAAAATAAAATAAATTAAAACAATATAAAATAAAATAAATAAAAAATTCGATAGTAGTATTAGGACGTTGAATTTTTTGGTTTTGCCATTAATTAGGTTAAACCATGTGATGAATTTCACAAGCCTTTATTTTTAAAACTATTCTATAGCGCCTTTTGATTAGGGTTTACAAACTTGTTTAAGCAATTTATCCAATAATAATTGGCCCCTTTACCTCTTAAGCCTGCTCATGTAAAATATTTGGGCTCCTTACTTCGCCTATTTATATTCTATTAATAAAAGACAGAAGGATGAGTATTTCAACTATGTTAAAAGAAATAAATTGGCTTTCAGTTCAGAATTATGTTCAGTACATGACTGATATTTATTTATAAAATAAAAATGACATAGTACCATCACCATCGCATCAGATTTATTAGAAAAAATTCAATATAATTCGCAATATCACAACTATAATACAAAAAGCCAATCTGACTTTCATGTACGGCAAGCCATCACTAAAAGTTCCCAAAATACAATTTTTATTAAAGGTTTAAAAAAATTAATAGACTGCCTACAGAAATAATAATAAAAAAAAACAATAAATGTATTCAAAAGTAACCTCAAACAATACTTGATAATTAAACAGAACGGATATACTTTCTTGTGATAATACTCTTTAAACCTGCCCTTTTTAAGTATTTTCCTTAATTTATTGTTATTTTACTCCTCGTTTTATCGGCATTTATTATAGATTATTTGTTTTGAGATCATGTACTTTATTTTAAAAAATTACTTGATGTTATATTAATACTACTTACTATGTTTAAATTATTAATAGTTTTGCGACGATAGGTTATAGCAACTTATAGCCATAAAACTATTTTTGTGTTAAAGTAGATCCATAGAGAGCAATGTAATTTACAAAGGCCTTCTTTCAATATACAAAAAAATGAACCAAATTATTATGTAATGTTAAATAGACGGATTAAAAGGGTTGACTTTTAATTACAACCATAATAAGAACATATTAAAAAGATTTAAGCCAATAGAACATATTTCAACAAATTTATATAGGTACATAAATATTTTTGATACCTGATTATCCATAAAGAATATATTTTTTTGGTGTATCGACAGGTTCATTAATACACAACTACTATTTTGTTACAAATAAGGTACATGCAGGTAATATCGCCATCTTAAGGTTCTACTGTAATTTGGACAAAGCAACATGACTAAAAACCAAATAACTTTTACAGGTGTTTTTCCGTTGATATAAGCAACAATTTTAACATTAACTAAACTGTTTTTGTTTTCCTTTTAAAAGGGTTAAGCTCTTATAAAAAAAATATTGTCCATTGGCGGTATTACCAACCCCCCGTTGGTAATAACGCCAAGTTGTTGATCTAATTGTTTAAGTATAGAAACTAATCGAAGGAATAAAAAATACAGATAATAATAAACATATAAGACATTTTCAAACATTTATTAATTTCTAAGAGCAATATGGACAAATATAAGGAACAATTTTGTCAGATTTGGTTAAACCAATACACTCATCATGAAGGTAGGAATTGCAAGCACTGCATAGGCGCATATCGGCTACTCTATCCTCTTTGCAGGCTTTGCAAAACCAACTTTCCTTATCACATGTTTTTTTGTGATCAATCTTTCGATTCGAGGGTTTGTTTTTTTTTTCGTTTCGTAGTGAGCTAAAAAGGTCTTTCTTTAGAACCTGTGCTCTGCTATTAATTGCTGGATTCCTTCTAGGTTTAGTAGATTTTTGTGAGAAATCTGGTGTCGGTAGCATCTCGGAAAAGGAAGTTGTGCCTAGGTTGTTTGTATTTTCAGATTCGATCTCTTCGTTTTCACTTTCTTCAGATGAGTCAAAGTTACTTACACTGATATCATCTGAATCATCACTACTTTCGGATAACTCCCTCGCAATACGTTTTTTAGTTGGATTTTTTTTGACCTGGACCATTTTTGAGGTGCTGGCTTGGGGACTACTGTGTTTTGGTGGTTGGATAGCTTCGGATAGACTTTCAGGTGGTTGAATTTTCTCAATATCTTCCGTTAAATTTTTATTCTCAGTTATGCTGCTTGGAGCAAAAGCTTCGACTGGTATGACATCTTGATTAAATGGGTAGATTCCTGTTGCTTGGAAACCTGACTTTATATTAGCAGGTGTTAGAGATTTATCCCATACTTCAGAAAAAATAGCTCCAAAACGTTGCTTGGTTATTGAACGATCTATATTTTTGGTCCAGTATTTTAAGACCTCATCATCCCAATAGTGTTCAAAAGAACGAAACACTGCTTTATCCATGGGTTGTAATTCATGGGTGGTGTTACTTGGTAAGCAATATAATGTTATGTTGAGCTCATCTGCTACTTGAACAATTGAATAATCCAAATGTGAAGATGCACCATCAAAAATCAGGAGACAAGGGCCAGGTGCTTTATATTTTGAAAAATGTTTCAGCCACACTTTAAAACTTTCAATTGTCATGCTGCCTTTTGGGGTCATTAAAGCGATACCTCCTGGAGGAAACTGGTCTGTCCATTCTGGTTTTAATCGTTTCCCTTTAAATAAAATTACAGGTGGTATGACAGAGCCTATTGCATTAGCACATGACACAACGGTGACATTTTGTGCATGTTCATTTGCAACCACATGAACTCGTCTAGCTCCTTTTTTCGCTAATACAGACTGCTGATGATGTAGAGTTAGGCGACATCCTTTCTCGTCCATATTGTATATGCATTGGGGTTTATTCATTATTTCTAATGTCTGCATAATATCTTTCAGTTTGTTAAAATGATCATTAACTATGAACTTATTAAGTTTTTGAGCTCTTGCAGGATTTAGGTTTTGAGCTTTACGATTTCGAATTTCGTCATGTCGTTTTAAAAATCCTTTGAGCCAATAACGTCCTGCCATTTTTGATGTCTCAGAAAACGGGGTTTTAATTTGATTCGTTATGCAAAAATTGTACACGCATCTCCTAAGTACCCTCGATGTTAAGGGATATCCAATTTCGGCTGGACGTATTATTCTTTGACATAAGTTCGATTCTTCATCAGAATTAAGTATGCACTTACGTCCCATGGGAAGTTTAACTGCTACATTTTTCTTTATATAATCTCTTAATGTTCTTCGTGGAATTGCAAAGTTGATACTTGCTTTATTTACGGAGTAACCATTTCTGATGGCAGTTAGAGCATTTTGCATGTTGTCTGCATTCCATTTTCCTTTCAATCCCTTGCTTTTGTATTTTGGCATGGTGAAAAATCTGTAAAAAAACCGTTACTTTATATCAACCCGATGCAGGTAATAACGCCATGGCGTTATTGCTCTTCAAGTGTATTGGCGATATTACCAACAACCACGTGTTCAAATATTTTCCCCAAATTTAACCCTAAAAATGTTTTATTTGACTGGTTGAATTACATAGCCTCCAGTATATAACATATATTTTATAACTAACCCGACAAAAAAACAAATACTCACCAAAAAACTGTCCTTACCGGCAAAACAATTCACTAAAGAATAAATAAAATACGTTCGCGCCTAACGTTCTGTTTAAATACATGAACCATACGGCGTACAATCATCAACTGACGCTTTTCATGGTAGAAGATCTTATTTGTAGAATAACCTCATTATATTCTCAGCGCCATCTATTATTTAAAGGTTATAGTTTTTTAAGAAATCTAAATTGGCGTTATTACCAACTTGGCGTTATTACCTGCATGTACCTTATTTATATTTATAATTAACATAATAGTTGATATAGGTCATTTAAAAATAATATATTTTGATTTAATTGTTGAATTCATACTTGAGCAATTTTACTTGTACCATTGTTTACATTTTGCAGAGAACTATTGTATTCTGCTTTTAACTGATAAATCATGTACATGTAAATGGGTTGAATGTAGACAATGTTAAATACTGTTGCTACTACTGCAGGCTGGGAATACAAAAAAAAAAGAAAGAAGCACAAAATACTAGACAAGTTTTTATCATTTCTTCTTTTACAATTTACAACCATTCAAGTAACTGGCATGTTGGAAATATTTCACGAAAACATGGTAAACATAAATCAGTCGAATGCAATGCATTATTTTCCTGCAACCTAACAAAAACCGCTCGCACGAACGCCATACCCCTCCTGTCCTTCTAATTTCCTGAACATCGCAGACACAACCGGCTAATCGACGATTTAGCGAGGCGGGGAATGGGCGTGTTTAGTGAAATTCAAAAATATTTTCTTTCCAAAAGCTAGCACAAAATCTAATCTAAAAATATTTTTTTGAAATTTTTCTCTTTTCAAATTTTCCTACAAGAATTTTTTAAAATTCAAAAAATCAAGCAAATTTGAAACACGCATCACAATTATTTTTAAGCAACATCATAATGAAGCCTAAAATCTGATTGGCCAATTTATAACCTTCCAGACAATAGTGGATGTTTTTACCTTGTTGCCGTTTCCTATAAAGAATTATTGAAATTCCGAACAACCGACAATTTAAAGGTTAAGATCGTATAATTTAACACAAAAACATATATACTAAAACTAAAAGAATAATTGTTTAAATTCAGTTTTTATGAAGTAACTTCACACTTACTATTTCAGTAAACTTTTTTCTTATTCGAAATGTTATTCAAATCATAATCTCCATATCGCGATATATTTCTCTAAGTCTGGCAACGTGGATTCAT